AATCCGACCCAATACAGTCCAATCCACTCCAATGGAACCAATCCAGCAAAGCCAAGTCCAGTCCAACAATAGATATGAACGAATAGACTTTATATGTATAAGTCTAAAATATTTTACACCATTGATTTGCTTTTGTGTGTGCGTGCGCGTACGTGCGAAATTATTTTCGTACAATAAAGTCGATAAGTATGTATGTCCTTTGAACTGTTACGTGAGCATTCGTTAATGCAGTGCCTGCGACGACACAATTCATCCTACAACTATCAATTGACGTTATTATTTATAGATTTTAATACGCTTAAGTACCTATGCTTGCTACATTAGAGTGCTCCAAAAAATGTTTTTCCGATATAGGGTTTGCCCCAAAATCTTTCCTTTTGCCGAAAGCGGTGCTGGTACCAAACTTTTCGTTTCTAAGTATAAATTTAGGGGATGCTCATGATGCTCATGTTTTACTCTAGAAGTATTGTGTACATATATTAATACAAAAATTGCTAAGTAACCTAAGAATATTTCAAATTTAAATTATCTAAAAATATATCACGAAGCTATGTTTTACTCTAGAAGTATTGTGTACATATATTAATCAGAAAAATGGTTAAGTAACCTATGAATATTTCAAATTATCTAAAAAATATCACAAGTTTCAGTTGTCCTGGCAACAGTCGCTTTTTATAAAAATCCACAATATTTTTGCCAGTTTCATAGCGATCCAGTGCCGCATTTCAAGGTCATTGAGCACCCTGTATTGGTTGGTAAAATCTAAGGGGGTGCCCCGTTTTCTAGGATGACATTTTTTTCCCCATACAAAAACCACTCTATTGCTACATAGATGTTTTTTATACGTTTCCCATGTAAATTTCATACTTTCCGAATCCTTCCTTGCGCTACCTTTTCGAAATTACTAGACTTCATTTGAATTTGTCAGCAAAACCCATTCAAGCGCGTAAGTCACTATTCGATTGAAACGAAAAGACAAATACATATTACATATAAGTATGTTTGTAGCTGCAGGCATGCGTATATACCGTATGTACCCGAACATACTTCAGTAAATATGCAAAAAGCGATGATAGGCGGCCCTTTTGACTTAAAACGAAAAGAAGATTGATATCATGCATATGCAACGTCAGCTTCTTCAGCATCACAATCGACATCAGCATCATCTTCAATATCATCTTCGGTAACAATCCTCCTCAGCTTCTTTGGGCATTACTTTTCATACGCCTCATTTGGACTCAATCTATTTGCATACATACACACACACAAGTATGGCTACCGCATACTTTTGCTTGAACTGTCATTGACATTGACGTTGATACGAAACTCGATTT